CCAGGATCCCATCGGATTCAGCCACAGCAGTTAAAGTGGAAGGATAGTGCTCTAACTGTTGTGTGAATAAGACCTATTTGTTTCCACAGGCATTATTAGTTTATTTATATTTTATGGATTTCCTGCCCTTGATTGGTGTACTGGTTTATACAGCATGCAGATAAACTCCAACTCTATCACTCCTTTCTACCTCAATCCAAGGAAGCTCTTTTGGTGCTTGTCATCAGTGGCTGTCATCAGTAATGGACTAGATAAAGGTGAACAAAATGAAACTTAATCCAGACAAAACAGGGAGCATGTCTATATGAGACAAATGAACTGGTTTTCACCTGCCTTTGCATAGTCCTGTCCAGACAATACAGGGCCAAAGGCCTGATTCAACTGTTGACTGCCCACATGTGGGAAGAACGATTCCCACAGCGAATCCAGGCCATCCCTCCCTTAATCTGCTTTTAAAAAACTCATTATTTGCTCTGGACCTTCCCAAAAAATTCAGAGCTCCACAGCAATGCTGGACAGCTGTCTACATAGCATCCCATTGTGTTGCTCACTGCTGGTGGCAGTGCAAGTCACTCCTCTGAGGTCACAATGAGATGCCCAGCCATGCGATTGATACTGGATGCATCATTTTTAACCTCAGAGAAAGCAACTTGAGCTAGCAGTGGTGCTGGTAGTAAGCACAACAGAATGCTGTGTAGAGAGCTGTCTGACATTACTGTGGAGTGCTCATATAATGGGAGGAAGTCAGGGTGGCTTCTTGGCCAGGATATGCTGGAGGCAGCCTGGAGTATTCTGGCCAGTTTAAACCCATCCAGAGATGCTCCTAGTCAGTCATCAGGCAGATCAGGACATAGATGCTCCAAGTCGGTCATAAGGACAGTCTGTGCAGGATGAGGTTACACTTCTGTTGACATAGGTCTGGAGATTGGGTGTGCTCCTGGATTAATGCTGGAAACTCAGGCCTTGGGGAGTGCATTTGAGCACCAGCTGCATCTATTCCTCAAGTCATCAGACTGCTTAATTCCATCCCTGTTTGGGTTACAGTAACACATTCCAGATGGGGCTTGCCAGATTATTAACTGAGACCGGCTACAGAGAACACAGAATTCCCTTGTTGCAAAAGCTCCACAGGCTGCCTATCCATTTCCAGGCAAGATTCAAAGTGCCCTATAAAGTTGAATAAGGTTCAGGCCCAGGTTGTTTGAAGGACCACACTTTCCCATACAAACCTGACTGTGTGTGGGGTCCAACTTTCTATCCCACCACCCACACAGGTACATTTGGTGGAAACCCAGGAGAGGGCCTTCCCAGTGTCGCTCCCAGGCTCTGAAACTCCCTTCCCAGAGGGGGTAGAATGGCCTCCTCCCTTAAAGCAAGTAGAACAAGTAAAAATGTTTTATTCCCTCAGATCTTTGAGAATTGACTTTTCAGGGAAAGTGCTGGACTTCTATTTATTGTTGCTATTTTAATTTTTTTAAAATGGTTTCCAGTGTTTAATTGCTGTTTAACTTTTTGGATGATGTTAATTTTTTACTATGGAGTTTATCACACGGGGGAAATCCCGTGCAGAAACAGGGCTTTAAATTGAAAAAAAAAAAGTGGTTAGATTTTCAGATGATGTCTCTGTTAAAATGGAATTAAAATGAGGTTAATCCGAACGGAAACTCATCAAAAACTGCTTCTTTTTACTTTCGGGATTTCCCCCCATGTGATAAACTCCTTTGTTTGTTTTAATTGCTGTAAACCATGAGTCCCAAATTGGAGGGGGGGGGGAAGAGGGGATATAAATAAATTGTTGTTGTTGTTGTTGTTAGGCATTAGATTTTGATTATTTTGGTCATGTTTTGTATATTTCTCTAGTATCCACAGATGAAGAGCAGTATAAAATTATTCTAAATAAAGGAATAAAATACTGCCTTGTCTCTATGTCCACACCTACCTCCATCACCATACCTATCCCCATAACGACCTTTACCTAATGTATATACTTGACTATAAGGCAACCATGTATACCGTAAGTTGAGGGCAAATTTTGCGGCCAAAATGATGGATTTTTATTTTGATATGACCGATGGATAAGTCGAAGGTAGAACTTAGGGGCATGAAGAAAGGATCTAAAGGATGAAGCAAAGGAAAACAATGTAAAAAAAAACTTACAAAATTCCAGCAGACATATTTGTGCTTGCACTAAAGGCTGGATGGAAGCGAAAGGCGAGTCAGCGCTTCAAGGACAGATTATGCTCTTGCCTTTCACGAGGGGACAGTTCCTTTTTTTAAAGTACAGTATAGTACTTTGACCCATGGATAAGTAAACTCAGAGAGGTTTTTTTAAAAAACTAAAGTTTCAAGACTTATACATATAGATTATTCCTTGAGACATAGTTGGCAGAATTAAGCTCTGTGGAATTTCTTTTTAAAAAATAAGTACCATATTTTGTCAGCCTAGAAGTAAATGAAACAGGTTCAGTAAACATGCTCTTTGTGGCCACCATTAGCTGCATTCCTCTCTTTTCTTACTTGCAGTTGGTTCTTCTGTTACATTTTGAGGTGAATTTCATTTTGCAGAGCCTTGTAGGCTTATGAGAACTGGCTGAATTACATGTTCATGTGACTGCCTCAAGAGCAAACAAACAAACAAAGGTTCAGAAAACTCAGCTTCCAATTGAAATAGTAAAATACTCCACATTTCATTTCCATGACTAATATTGCTCCCCTTTCCTTGGGGCTTAATGTTCATGACTCTTTCATGACCTGGATTTTGCTGCAGGACACTGTCCCCAATTTCTGCAATATAAAGAAGAAAACCCATGTCACCCCTGAAATTGATATATAATGTGCAGACAGGGAAATTGTATTTCTGTCCAATAAGTCATATGCCAGACCTCTTTCTGAAGCAGGGATAATTGGGCTTTGCATTGTTGCTGCAAGGCCTTGCCCTCTCTCTGATGCTTGCAGATGGATTGAAGAAACAAGCAACATTCATCATGTGAGAAGCAGCACAGCACTGCCCATGGATTTCTATGAGCCCCAGTACTTACCTCTTTTGTGGTGTTTGCAAAGATGGGCATTGACCATTCTGGTCCTGCAATACTGGTAGTCCCAACCAGTAATATTTCCAAACTGGTTTGTACACTGACTTTTTCTTGTTGTGTGCCTTCAAGTAGTTTCTGACTTGTGGTGGTCCTAAGGCAAACCTATCATGGGGTTTTCTTAGCAAGTTTTTTTCAGAGGTTTACCATTGTCTTCACTTCTCATGTTTGCGATGTGTGCTAATTGTTGAAATGACATTGTATGTGGGGGGGGGGGGAATTCCAGATGTATCTTGGTTAATAATATCCAGTTCTTCCAAACTATCCAAGTAGCTTTGGCTTTCTTAAAATGTTTTTCCCCCCTCAGGAATCTCTCCAAGTTTTCAGCATCTTTAAAATGTATGAAACCTGAAATTGCATTCCAGATGAGCTTAACTTGGGTCAAGAAAAGTGGAATGACTACTGTCGCTATGTTTCTGCTGACTCAAAATAACAAAAAAATAATCTTGCTTTTTAATCTCTCTCTCAGTACTTTGAAGCCTCTCTTCAGACACATTGGCATATTGATTATTTGGTGGTTTGGGTGCATCCCTGAAGCACAGGCCCACAGAGTTCATACTGAGCTTTGAGACACAGAAACAGCTGAGAGGAACAACAGTGTTCTCTATATCTACCCTCAGATGGTTGGCATGATGGATCTCCTAGGGGGAAAGGCACTTGTCTTGGGCTGGTTTGGGACTAAGTCAGAAATGTTTTAGGCTCATTCACAAATGGACACTCAGCACCAATGGGGTTGATGGATTCTATGTCAGTGGGGTGATGAATCCATTCTAGGTCTTACTCTGTACCTTAAAGGCACTATCCAAATTGCTGGCACAACTTTAAAGTTCAGACTACACCTTGTAACAGATTCACCAGCCACCACAGCCTGGCATTAATCATGAATACCATGAATTTGGGAATAAGCCATCATCTGTCTAACACCAGAAACAGAATATCTACAATATGCCAACTGTAGTACAGATGATAAATAGCCCTGAGTGCCTGCTAGAATAGGGTGGGAGAGGCAATACCAATTCAGTTCACTCAGGCCACTGGTGATGTCTTCGAGAATGGAGGCATGGTCATTTCCTTGAGCTGGGCTGCTGCTGCTTTGATCATCAGCCTTTGGCTGCAAATATTCACTCCATCCTGTTACTAAGGAGATTATCTTATAATGATATAAACCAGTTTACCTGAGCCAGCTTCAAATTAAAAGCAGGGGGCATCCTGATATTGTCAAATGCTTTTATCCACTGAAATTACTGTCGGGGTGCAGCCTGGCTCCATTGCTGCTTGAAGGGGTGCTCCTCATGGCTCTTTTTGAAGCTGAGGGTTTTCTGGCCGGAAAAAATGGCCACTGGAGCACCCCTCTGAGTGGTGCCTGGGTGGTGATTTCAGCAGCTAAATGTGTCTGATAATATCAGGATGCCGCCCACTTCTAATTTTAAGTTGGATCAGGTAAGCTGGTTTGTATCATCATGTGATAATCAAGGTACATTCAAAGTAACCACGACTGGTCTAAGTCATTTTGGTGCCTATAGCACAAAGTCCTCCAGCTGTCAATCCTCCTCTATGACAGCAAAAATATAAAAGTAAATAGATAACATTTGGCTGCCATAGAAGCAGCTGCAAGAGGTAATGACTGTACTAGGGTTGCCAGATCTCACAACCTGGTCTTAGTCCAATTCTTGTGTTTTCTTCAGAGAGGAGATGAGGGGACAGATCCTCCAGAGGAAAGGGTTTTGTGCAAATGTCCAGCTCAGGAGAATAGCAGCTTGCTCTAGTTTGTAAGACTTTAAAAAGAATCTGTATAGTTAGTTAGCTTCTTCCTTCACTGTCAGTTGTGATGCCAGCCCGCTGCCCCCCACATCCACCTGCTAGATAGAAGCAAGTTGGCTACATTAAATGTTCCCCATCTCATCTGGGAGAGCCAAGATGGTATAGTGGTTTGAGTGTCGGACTATGATTCTGGAGGCCAAGTTTCGATTCCCAGCTTGTCCATGAAACCCACTGTGTGACCTTGGGTGTGTCACATGCTCTTAGCATCAGGGGAAGCCAATGACAAACCACCTCAGAACAAATCTTGCTAAGGAAACGCCATGATAGGTTCACCTTAGAGTCACCATAAGTCAGGAACAACTTGAAGACACACAACAGCAACATCCCATCTGGAAACACCCTTTTAGTTAAGATTTCTGTTTTGATTTCCAAATAGGAAAATGTATTCTCCCTCTCCCATTGTGTGTGTGCACGTATGTGTTTGAATGACAAGCTTTGAACAGTTAATGCATACTGCTCAGTAACATCACCAGGGGCTGTAAGTCAGGGCAAGTGATGACCATGAATTGGCAACCCTACTTTATTCTATCTACTGGTAGTACTGATCTGTAATATCCAGCTTTGTTTCAATCTTCCCTAGCTCTCTGCTACTGTGTTGTTGCTGTGTGCCTTCAAGTTTACAGCTTATAGTGACCTACCCACATTTTATTGCCTTTCCTTCCTCTGCTTTGTTTTAATAACTGTTTTACTGTGTATTCTTGTAAAAACATCTTCTACAACTAGCAGGAAAAAAAGATATGTGCACACACATACGCACACACTTATTTTGAACAAATGCCCAGACGAGGCAATCTGCTAGACTTATAATTCTTCCCCACCCATTCAATATTGTTTCAGGAGAAAGCAATTTCACATGGAACTGGCAACTTCTCACTCAATCACTTTTACTTTTCCTTCCTTGTCACAAAAATGTAAATATGGGGGGGGGGGGG